CCTTCTTATTTTGAAAAACAGAGAGCGCGCGCGCACACACACACACATATATATATATATATAAAGTGAATCTCTAATTCATGCAAGTCATCTTCACTGGCGAAACATTTTTGGGGTGTTGGTGTTTAATTACTTATATAAAGCAGTCCAACTGATGAGAGAGAACGAGTCTACTTGTTTTATTTCATAATAGGTAAATTTACACTGTTTGTTAATACAATATATACAGCTGTAAATAAGAAAATAACAAAACAATACACAAATATAAACAAATATTACAACATGGTCCTTAAACTAATTCTAGTTTATAATATAGTCCAACACCCCCCTCAAGCTGGAGCATGAATATCAAGAGTGCCCAGCTTGGACTGCAAAACAGAAAACACTGCAGTAGGCAAAGACTTTGTAAACAGATCAGCAACTTGGTTAGCATTCGAAATATGCAGCACTTTTATTAGACCAGAAGCTATCTTATCACGGGTTAGATAACAATCTAATTCTATGTGGTTGGTACGCTCATGCACAACTGGATTTTCAGCTATGCGAATAGCGGATTGACTATCAGAATATAAAATACCAGAAGCTATCTTATCACGGGTTAGATGACAATCTAACTCTATGTGCTTGGTACGCTCATGCGCAACTGGATTTTCAGCTATGCGAATAGCGGATTGACTATCAGAATATAAAATACTAGGGGCAGGAAAAGAAACACCCAAAGCAGCAAACACATAGTGCAACCATTGAACTTCACAAGTTAGGTCTGCCATAGCCCTATACTCAGCCTCAGTGGAGGACCGAGATATGGTTTTCTGTTTCTTGGAACGCCAAGCAATTAACGATTTACCTAAAAACACGCAGAAACCTGTTGTGAAGCGGCGGAAATCAGGGCAGCCAGCCCAATCACTGTCTGAAAAAGCTTTGAGAGTCAGTTCTGAATTACTAGGGAAAAATAAACCAAGACCTGGATTACCTTTCAAATAATGAAGAATGCGATAAGCAACTTGCAAATGTACATCAGTGGGTGCACTCATGAATTGAGTTAACTGATGTACAGCAAATGCTATGTCAGGACGTGTGTTACACAAGTACAATAAACGCCCTACCAAACGACGATAAACAGAAGCATCATCAAGTAAAACGCCAGTTTTGCTAGACAACCTTATTCCTGGATTACAAGGTGTACTAACAGGTTTGGCAGCTAACAGTCCAGAATCAGACAAGAGATCCAAAACATACTTTCTTTGGCAAATAGAAATACCAGTGGACTTACGCGCAATTTCCAAACCAAGAAAGTATTTAACATGTCCTAGATCTTTGATTTTGAATGCAGCACCTAAACCTTTCTTAAGATTTTCAATTTCAGACAAGTAGTCACCAGCCAAAATTATATCGTCTACATAAACAAGCAAAGCAAGAAACTGTCCATCCTTTTGTTTTGTAAACAATGAGTAATCAACTTTTGACTATTGATAACCAACATTCAAAAGGAATTCTGTTAACTTGTGATTCCACTGCCTACTAGCCGGTTTTAGGCAATAAAGGGATTTGTTCAATTTGCATACAACATCACCAGAATTAAGAGGAAGGTTTAAACCTAGAGGGACTTTCATATACGCATCTTCATCTAATTCACCATGCAAAAAAACATTATTTACATCTAATTGATGTAAATGCCATCCTTTTATGGAAGCTAAAGCAAGCAAGGCCCTAACAGTTGTTAATTTAGCAACTGGTGAGAAAGTATCTAAATAATCTATACCTTCAGTTTGAGTATACCCTTTAGCAACTAATCGAGCTTTAAAACGCTCAACAGTTCCTTCAAGGTGGAATTTTACCTTCAAAACCCATTTGTTTCCAATGGGTTTGACACCTGGTGGACGCAATACAATGGTCCATGTATTTGTTCTGATGAGTACATCCAGTTCTGTGTTGACTGCAACATTCCAGCGTTCATCCTTTTCTGCCTCATGATAACTAGTAGGTTCTGAAATAGAACTTATTGCATTAACAAAACTAGAATGACCATTCGCAAGGTTAGTGTCAGAAATAACAGAAGATAATGGATATGGAATAGAGGAGCTGACTGCAGAGTTGCAGACATAGTCTTGCAAACGAGCAGGTCGTTGTCTATTCCTAGCAGGTCTACCTGATGGTTCAGTATAAAAAACAGGAGGATACTCAGGAGGTGGAACTCCAACCTCCTCATCAGAAATAGGAGGAGTTTGAACTCTTAAATGTTGGTCGGGGGCCAATGATGGGACTAAACCATCCACTGTGTTGGCATCATTAGATGTAACTACAGCAGATGGAGGAACTTGAATGACAGGAAAGGAAAACTCAACCGAATCCAGGTTTTAACTCTTAGAAAAGAAAGGAAAAATAGACTCATGAAACACAACATCTCGAGATTCTAACACAGTATTGGTAGCTAGGTTATAAAGCTTGTAACCTTTAGTAGCAAAAGGAAATCCTAGGAAAACACAAGGATCTGCTCTAGGCTCAAATTTGGGACGATTATGAGACAAAGTGGAAGCATAAGCCAAGAAACCAAAAACACGAAAACCACTGTAATCTGGGACATAATTATGAAGCAACTCATAGGGAGATTTATTTCCTAAGACTGGACTAGGAACTCTATTAATCAAAAAAGTCGCATGTAAGACAGCATGACCCCAAAATCTAGAATGAAGTGAAGATTGGAACAAGAGAGCACGAGCAACAGCAATGATATGCTGCTGCTTGCGCTCCATCCGACCATTTTGTTGAGAAGACTCGACACAAGTAGTCTGATGCACAATGCCTAAGGAATCAAAAAATGCACGCATCTGAAACTCTTGACCATTATCTGACCTAAGTATTTTAATGCGAGCATTATACTGATATTGAATGTGAGCAACAAAATTTTGAATTAAAGGTCTAGCTTCAGACTTCTTATGCATAAGATAAACCCATGTATTTCGAAAATAGTCATCTACTATAGTCAAAAAATAACGATGACCATCAATAGTAGGAACACTATAAGGACCCCAAATATCTGTATGCACAAGATCAAACATATGCTCAGCTTGAGATTCACTTACCATAAAGGGAAGACGTTTTTGTTTGGCCAGTGGGCAAACAGAACAATGTTTTGTACATTTAGAATCAATCCCACTTATTCTAAATGCTAAAGTTTGTAAACGAGACAAAGATACATGACCAAGGCGAAAATGCCAAAGGTCAAAATCATGAACAGTCTTATCAAACAACACAGAAAAAACAGAAGAATCTGGACAGGTTGAAGATATTGGTAGAGGCAGAGGAGCTGAGTTGTGCACTTTTGCTGAGAAACAGTAAAGTCCACCGCTCACTCTAGCTATACCAATCATCTTGCGGGAGGCCAGATCCTGTAGTAAGCAATAATCATTAAAAAACGTCAAGGAACATGAAGAATCCTTGCTTAATTTGCTAACTGAAATCAAATTAAAACCAAATTGAGGTATTAAAAGAACTTTCTTAAGAATTAACTGTTCATTTAACCTAACTGATCCTATATGTGTAACAGACACTCGAGAACCATTTGGTAAGGACACAAACATATCACACACAACAACAGGTGATAGCAAACAAGAAATATCAGACACACATGATCAGAAGCACCACTGTCTAAAATCCACTTAGAAGTATTGTCAACCATAGAATTGGCAAGAACAAACTTACCTCCATCCTGGCTTGAGGAAGCAGTTGAAGAAGAAGCCAGGAACGACTAGTGCGATGGATAAGACTGCTCAACACAAACTCCAGTAGTGACAGAGTTCACAGTAGGGACTGGAGGAGGAAGAGCCTGAGGGTGACTCTGATACTATGATGAGAGAGAACGAGTCTACTTGTTTTATTTCATAAAAGGTAAATTTACACTGTTTGTTAATACAATATATACAGCTGTAAATAAGAAAATAACAAAACAATACACAAATATAAACAAATATTACAACATGGTCCTTAAACTAATTCTAGTTTACAATATAGTCCAACACCAACTCAAACTCAGACTCGGGCAATGAAAATTCGACATGATGAAATAGCGGACAAGTTATGGAATGAATGACAAAAAACGTGTGCAATTTTGTTTTTGTGGAAGAAATCGATTTGCTACAAATAGGGATGGCAATCAAACCCATGGCCGTGGGTACCCGACCGCCCCCGACCCAGTCAACGCGGGTAATCCCCGCTTTGACCGGGTATGGGGCGGGTATGGGTAAAACCCGCATAAAGTTTGATGGGTATGGGGCGGGTATGGTTTTAGCCTCCCCGCCCCATACCCATACCCATATCCGCCCCACCAAGAGAATTTCTTCACATATACAAAAATATATGGATAAAATTATAATCTATCAATGGTAATGAGGATAACTCGAGGATATAAATAGTAGAAATGAAATTGAGTGACCACCTTAATAAAAACCTAATTCATTTCTCTCAATTCTCCTTTCACTCTTTCACTTTCCCCCTTGTCAACAAGATTATGTTAGTTAATTATTACTTAGTAGATGTATCAGAGTTAGAACATAATAATTTGAAAAATATTATACTCTATATTATGTATTAATGAATGTTTTAGGATCATATTCTTTGAAACGTATTAAGAAAATGATCGCGTTTTGTTGAATTCGTGATATAATAGGTACGTTTAGAGTTGTAGTTAAAACTTTTCATGTAAATTTTAGGATAATAATGTTGGATGTACGGATATGGGTATTACCCATGGGTACCCGAAACCCACGGGTATGAGGATGAGTTTGCTAAACATTCGCCCACATGGGTATGGTGCGGGTATGGATTTGGATACTTGAAGATGGGGATGAGGATGGTTTAGCCAAACTCGTCACAAACTCGCCCCATTGCCATCCCTAGCTACAAATCAAGTAGCTAGGGAAAACAAATTCGTGGGACGGATTTGCTACAAATTCTCGTTGATCATTAATGATGAGGTCCATCGTTCGAAACCCCCCAGCCCCAACTTTTTGGGTTTTGCTCCACTCCTTGCCATTGTAACCCTAGACCACGAGTTTCAACTTTCATCATCTCCCTCTCTCTCAGACCACGGGCGGCCGCCATTGTCTCCCTATCCCTCCAGCAGTCCCCGCCTCTCATCTTCATTTCCTCTACCCCCAGACCACTAGCAGCAGCGACGAATCGTTCCGTCATCCAGCCTCTCTCTCTCTCTCCTCCAGCCGGCTTACATCAAGCAGTAGCGACGAAACGGTCCAGCCACACTCTCCCCCTCCATCCGGCGAACATCAAGCAGCATTGACGAATCGTTCCACCCGGCGGGTCGAGTTCCACCTGTCGAAGGTCTAGCCGCCGAATCGAGTTCCACCCGACGAAGTTCCAGCCGGCGAGTGGAGCACTTAAATCCCTAATTACCCCAACCCATTTCGGCCCCATCTCTTCTTTCCGCTATCATCTCCATCATCGACCCAGCACCTGCCGCCGCATTTCCTTCATCCTCTGCGCTGGTCCAGCACTCGGGTTCGCCCTCCCCTGCCCACCGCCGCAGCAGCTTCCCTTCCTCGTTCTCGCTCCCCGGCGCAGCTGAACTCGCACGACGTGTTGTCGAAGGAGAAGCTCCTGGAGGAGTAGCAGAAGCTCTCCGTTTCGTCGACGACGCCGTCTTCTCCTTCCTCCTCCTCCTTCTCGTCTCAGGGGCGACCACGGCGCTGGGTTTTTTCACATCCGCCAGGAGATTGATGGGTGAGGAGGGAAAATAGACCCAGCTCTGAATCGGATTCCACACACCCAGCTTCTCTGCTTTCCAAACCCAGGTTCGACTGGTTCATCTCACTTTTCCTGTCTTAGCGTCCTTCTCCTGCTTCAATCACAAACTCAAGGTCAAAATGGCAGTAATGATACTCATCTGATCAGGACCTGCTCCTACTATTTCCTAGTGCTAGCTTTTGCTTGCCATTTCAGGGGTCTTATTAGTTGCTGGCTTTGGTCAATTCTTTTTCTTAATGGCTTAGTAGTGTGTGTTGTACATAAGTCATGATCAGAATTGGGGTTCGTGGCAAAGACTCGATGTGATGTGGTGGAACTGGAGAATTGATCGTGGAGTGAATTGCTATATTGGTTGCATTTACCGTTAAGATGTTCCCTTCAACAAACCATTTTTGGAGTTCTTTAGTAGGGTAGAGTACTTGTGAACAGATAGGCATTGGTACATCATGGCTACATAGCTTAGGTTGGAGGATATGGAATCAAAGTTACAGAATAATAGTGGCATTGTTGGTGGGATGCCAAGATTGTGCTATGTGTTGTTTCCTGAACTAGACCGAGAGGTGTGTTTGGAGGAAACCTTGCAGTTCTTTTGTATTGCTCTCTGGAGCATATTTCCGTGTTGTGGCACACATGGGATTGAATGGATTTAGGAGTAAATGGAAGGGTATTTTCAGTGTGAGAAGCTTTCAGCTTTCTTTGTTTTCTTCTACTTTTCATTAATGTCTGTTTGTAACGGTTGCATACCTTTAAGGCATTGTTGGTGAGAAGTATTAGTACTTTTGACAGCATGTATGAGTTGATTTTATATGTATTATGGTTAGGGATATATCATTACCTTCTGCTGAGTTTTTATTATGATAAACCCTATCACAAGGCTATGCATTGGTAATCTGGACAATGCTGAGTTTTTATTATGAGTGCGGTGCCTCATAGGCTATTCTGTGAATGAGCATAATTGCTGTCTCAAATATGCTCATGCTCTCTTTGTAAGCATTGAAATCCATGTTCTTTAAAACCCTCATTCGATTGTATGTAGGAGTACTCGGGATTACTTCGCAGCCCAATTCTGTTCTGATCTGTGTATATTTGATTTCCCAGGTTGGTGTGGGATTAATGTTCTTCCAGCAATTTGGGGGGACTAATGCTATTGCATACGATGCTAGTATGCTAGGTCCATTTTAGAGGCAGCTGGTAATCAACTTTAATCATCACCTTCATCAGGTCGTTAACCGATCCAGTTTTCCCTAATGAAAATTGACACTATTTATGGATTATTGGTGCAGAGTTTTCAAGCTAATTAGTATTTGATAATTGTGCAGGTAATCCTGACGCCTACTCATCTGGCGATTAGTGGTGTTAAATTAGTATTTGATTTGGATTTATTGTAAGGTAATTTTGACTTTTTAGATGTAATTTGCATTTTGTTTATTTGATTTGGATTTATCGTAAGGTAATTTAGACTTTTTAGATGTAATTTGCATTTTTTTATTTGATTTGGATTTATCGTAAGGTGATTTAGACTTTTTAGATGTAATTTTAATTTTATGGAATTAATTTTGAGTTTTTCGAATTAATTAGGATTTTTGGTATAGGAATTTGGACTAACTTAAATTTTCTGGAATTAGTTGAAATTTTTGTAATAAAACTTTTATTTTTTGAATTAGTTTAAATAATTTTTTTATTTAATTTAGATTATTTTTGTTATGAACTCATTTAAATTTTCTAGTATATACCTGCAATTTTTTGAAATTTAATTTGATATTAAATAATTAAGTGGGCTAATATTGTATAAAAAGAAGTTGGGCCGACCCGACCCAGCCCAGCCTGACCCAACAGGGCTATACAGGGCCAAATGAGAATAGGGTCGGGCCAAATATTTGAGCATACAGGGCTGGTTTTTTTTGGGTAGTAGCAGGGTCAGTGCTGGGTTTGACCCAGTCTCACCCCTACTTTACAGGGTGAACTGTTTGTGAGCAACTGTTACCCAACCCTTGTTTTAATCAAAATCGTGTTTTTTGTGTGTGTTGATTTTGACTGTGTTTTCGATGGGTAATTGAGAATTGAGATTCTGCAGTTGTTGCATCTGTTAGAAATCAGTCGCCTCTCACCATGGAATTTACAGCAACCCATATGACTACTTGTTTGTTATTTGATCTTACTTCTCTTTCTCATCCCTTTCCATGAACTCCCTTCTTTCTTGTAATTTCTATTGTTCTCCTCATTTATTTCAACGAGTTGTAAATGTGTGGGGTGGAAAGTGGCAGATGAATTTTGTTTATTGTATTATGATTAGGGTTGTATGATACTCAATGAACAAAATCGTAGTAATTAATTATCAGAAAACAGTATGAAACAATTAAACAAGTTTTCATTTTTAGAAATCAGTTTCAGAACTCATCAAAATTCTTAGGTAAACAAGGTTTATTAGGTTTTGTTTTCCAGGAAATGACAACTTCGTTTTCATTTTAATTTTGTTTTCTGTTGTGGCATTTAACCGAAATGGAATGACAAGTAAACAGTCCATTAAGTTGTATTTGTTATTGTAGTTGTACTTCTTAAAATATTTGGTTGATGTAGTAGTATTTTGTTTTGTTGTTTAAAACAAGAATGCTATTGAAAACAGACATCAGTTTGTAATAACTGTATCTAAACAAGTTTTAATTTCCAGGTTTCAGTTTCAGAACTCTCTAAATTCTCAGCTAAACAAGTTTTCTTCAGATTTTGTTTTCTAAAAAATGAGTGATTCTTTTTCTGTTGTCCAGAAATAAAAAAACAGCGACCGCCAACCCTTCTGCACTGTCCTGACAACTCATAGCAGTCATCTTGACGAAACCCACTAGGTAACCTTAGAACTATCTCTCCTTCTTTTCAGACCACGCTCCCTTCTGGGGATTCTTGAAATTGTAAAAATGGGTGATCCTTTTCTGATTAATCTGATTGAAGGCGTTGATGGACTCCCAGTTTCTGTGCTTTAACCGGACCAGCTTGCTCACTAAGCCTCTCCTTCCACCGCAATCTCATTTATTTGCCGCCGCTCCAAACTTCTACCGCCGTCCATCTTCACTTCAATCCAAAGGTATTATGCTGCCGACATGTTAGCAAGTAGAGGTTTTTGGCATTGTTGCGATTCTTTCCTTTCGTGTGTTTACTGAGTTCTGGACGTCACAGGATTTGCTTTGAGCAGCATAAGGTGTGCAATAAAGTCTTATCGGTTATCTGAGCTAAATCGTGCAGAGGTCGATGGCCTGAAAGCTCGCCCTCGAATCGATTTCTCTTCCATTTTCAGTGTGGTGAGCTCTCTCTCGTGAACTGAGCTAATTCTATTAGCAGCATCCGAGTTTCCAGTTGTTTGTGTTCGATTGGGGGGCATTTCCATATTGTTTGTGTTCCTGCCAGGTGAACCCTATTGTTGATGACGTTCGCACAAGAGGGGATGCTGCAGTTAAAGAGTCGGTTATGCTTTAATGGTTTTTTTCTTATGATCCTGCATTTCAGGAAGCTGGAATTCTTCAACTTGATGCTTTTGTTGTGCAGGTACACTGCAAAATTCGATAAAGTGAACCTGGATAATGTCGTTGTGGATGTTTCTGGGCTTCCCAATCCGGAGGTATTCTTGCTTGAGAAGCACAAATTTTTATGTTAATCTGTCTCCCTGTGATAGGTTCTTGTGTAATATGCCATTCAGATTGTTATGCTGCTTAGTTTACTTTTGCATTTTATCTGTATTGCAGCTAGATGCAGATGTTAGGGAAGCATTTGATGTGGCATATGTCAACATATATGCATTTCATTTTGCTCAAAAATCTGATGAAAAAAGTGTTGAGAACATGAAGGTAAGTGATACTCGTACTTCTTGCAAGCCTGCTTCAACATACCTTATCCGTTTTCCTTCTATAATTTTTGGAAGTATTATAGGGTGTTAGGTGCAAACGCGTGGCAAGAAGTATTGGCTCTGTTGGTCTCTATGTTCCTGGAGGTACTGCAGTCCTACCTTCCACAGCTTTGATGCTTGCAGTAGTAAGTTGGTTGGAACTCTCATGTTAGCCATCCGTGTTCTGCTTGCCTTTATCATGGGTAGTTTAGTCTAACAATTACTTTGGCATTTTATTTCCCTGCACAGCCTGCCCAGATTGCTGGGTGCAAAACTGTTGTTCTTGCAACTCCGCCGAGTCAGGATGGCAGCATATGCAAGGTACGTATTGACATCTAAATTCTTTTATGAAAGTGACTTCTTGCTGATGAATGATTTATGTTTCAATAGGAGGTATTGTATTGTGCCAAGAAGGCTGGCGTTACCCACATTCTTAAAGCTGGAGGGGCTCAGGTTTGATATTGTTTATTGTTATATGAGGTTATATGCAGGTATCACATTTTCATCGTCTTATTTTCTCAATCTTCCCTTTCCAAGTTCAGGCTATATCTGCTATGGCATGGGGAACAGAGTCCTGCCCTAAGGTATTGGTTTTCTCTCAATGTAGGCCTTTGGAACCTAAGAGAGATAATATTTGTTTGGGTGTGTTGATGCTTTACTTGTATCCGACAATTTGTTTCCGTTGTTGCTATTGTAGCCTCTTTTTGTGTTCTTGTTGCGTCTGTGAAATCTGTTTTCTGAGATTCAGTCATCACTTGCAGGTTGAGAAAGTTTTTGGTCCAGGAAATCAGTATGTTACAGCTGCAAAGATGATTCTCCAGGTGTGCTTGTATTCCTCCCTCTTTCATGTTTTCCTATTTCCTTTTAGCTTTGTCTGAAAACCCATGCGCTATTGAAGTTGTTTCAACTAAAAAAATTCACGGTGTTTACATCAGAACAGTGAAGCAATGATATCTATTGACATGCCAGCTGGACCTTCAGAAGTTCTGGTCATTGCTGACAGATATGCCAGCCCAGTACATGTAGCTGCAGATCTGTTGTCTCAGGTGCATTGTGTTCCATTCATATCCTTCCACTGTTAAATAAACTAGGAATAATGGAAGCGGTAAATTTATCTGCAGGGCAATGGTTTTCCATCTTTCAATGTGATTTATTTTGTAGCTCGGACACACCTGATGGTTTGTTTTCTGTGCTGTGCTGTGCTGTGCTGTGCAGGCTGAGCATGGCCCTGATAGTCAGGTTGTTCTTGTGGTCGTCGGGGATGGCATCGACATGGAAGCTATTGAACAAGAAATCAGTAAGCAGTGCCAAGCCCTTCCTAGGGGAGAGTATGCCTCGAAAGCTTTGAGCCACAGTTTCAGCGTCTATGCTCGTGATATGATAGAGGTAGGTCCTTTATCCTTCTTGGTTGCAGACAATCAAGGGTGTCCAACTCTCTCCTCTTATTGCATCAAACACTCGGGTTAATTTTTGCGTATCTAACCTGTCATCAATTTCCATGTTCAAATTGGTGGGGTTTCTGGGCAGGCCATCTCCTTTTCCAACTTGTATGCACCCGAGCATCTGATAATCAATGCGGAAAATGCCGAGAAATGGGAGGGTCTTGTTGAGAATGCAGGTAATGACTTGCCTCTCCCTCCCTCATCTTATTGGCTTACAAGGGCCAATTTAGTTCTTTCACCTAGGGGAATTTGTTGCCCCCTCTTGGTAATAAACTCTTTTTGGTTTCACCGCAGGTTCTGTGTTCTTGGGTCAGTGGACGCCGGAGAGTGTCGGGGATTACGCCAGCGGAACGAACCACGTGCTTCCTACTTACGGGTATGCCCGGATGTACGGCGGAGTATCCTTGGACTCCTTCTTGAAGTATATGACAGTTCAATCTCTAACCGAAGAAGGCCTGAGAAACCTTGGTCCATTTGTGGCTACCATGGCTGAAGTTGAAGGGCTCGATGCCCACAAGAGGGCCGTCACTCTTAGACTCCAGGATATAGAGGCCAGGCGGCAGCAACAGCGAGTCACAACAACATAGAATATGGTAGACCGCGCTTCTCATTTTCCTTCTTTTCTCAGGTGGCCGTTGTCAGGATCCTGAGTGTCGCCCCTTTTGTTTCATTCTCATACTTTGTTGATAACATGTATTCCTTTCTCGCACTCTTCTGGTGCAACGGTAAACTTTTTTGGTAGAGGCTCGTATCACATAGTAATCCTACCAAAAGGAGAACATTTGAACTAAACACACTCTGATACTAACAGGAGAACATTCGACTTTACACAGCTAACAACAGCTTCCTAAGCAAGACACCCCCACCTTCCAGAGGCCATCACTGGCCAGAATGATGAAGTCCCTATCATCACGATCAATGGTAACAATCTTTAGATCGGGCTCTAAAGAGATGTGATCTTTCCGCTTTGCATCTCCAAACGCCCCAAACATTGCCAGCTGCCCATCCACCCGAGGCAGACCGCCCTCGAGTCGCCCACGTTTGCCACAACCAACGTCTTCCCATCAATTAGTATGGTTGTGACTGCGGTTGATCCACCACGTCGGCTCACAACGTGTTCCAGAATCTCTTGGTCCGCGGTCTTGTACGCTCTCCTGATGGCACTCTTCGGGTTCCTCCAGAAGTCGGAGCTAAATGAAGCAAAAACCCAGACATGCGAGGTCAGCGTATTTAAAGATGAAGAAAAAGCTTCGGTTGTGGTTGAGGACAGTGATGTCCATGTACCTCATTCAAGATATTGTCAAAGAGATGAGCCTGCAGATATTTGGCTACGTTGCGCCCCGAATGGCCATCAAAGATTGCATACAATCCGAGCTCATAGCCATCCACTTTCCTGTTCTCTGCCTCTACATAATCTTCCATTTCATGGTCCATCTTCCCTCTCACCAAATGGCATCCATGGCCGACTTTTCCGCCGCAACGTGCTGCCTCCTCATCATCTTCATTGTCATCATCAACTTCCCCATCCTTCAGACCAAAATGGATTTCATGGGCTCGATATCAGGGAGAGTGACCACACCAATCACTAGAACTCTCGTTCCGGAGAACCCGACCAAGTTCCCTTGGACGCGCTTGATTAAGCGCGGATCGATGTCCATTTGGTCAACGGTGCTCTTGAAAAGGATGTCCGCCGCGCTGCCCCCGTCTATCAGTAGGCGGTGAATTTTACAGGCGGCCACCAGAGCGGTGATGGTGATCGGGTCTTCTGAAGGGATCCCTTGCGGGAATTCGGCGTCGTCGAAGCTCAGTTTGCACTTTGTTTGAACATCGGCCGCTGCGCATTCTATCGCGCGTTCGCGCTTGGTTTTTTTCTTCGGGCGATCTCCTTCTACTGTCACCATCCCTATTTCTTTGCGTACTACGGATGAGCCAGTAGCCTCGTTGTAGTCAGCTTGCCGGCGGTGGTGGTGGGTTTCTTGGTTGCTCTGGTTGTTCCTCCGCTCCACGGATGAACTCCGTCAGTAGCCCTCTTCGTATGAGGCCTTCGATTTTGTATCGTAGCTCCCTGCAGTCTTCTGTCCAGTGGCCTGTTTCTCTGTGGAAGTCGCAGTGCTTTTTTGGATCGCGCATGTGCGGTAGGGACCTCAAGGGCGCGGGCCAGTTGATTTTGTAACCTTTCTCGCTGACAACGTGAAACACGTTTTTTACCGACTCATTGAGTGGAGTGTAGGTGTTTGACGACCGTCTGTCGGATGATCGTCCCCACCTGAGCTTGTTCTGGTGGGGGTGGAGGGTGGCGCTTTGGTCCACTGTGTAACTGTACCAATTGTTCTCGCGGTACCGGGAGCTGCCTCCGTCCCTGGTCTTCTCGGAGCGGTTTCGCGGGTTCGAAGCGCCTGACGGAGCCCGCGCCGAGGGTTTCTTCCAGTGTGATTGCTTTCTCGATTTTCATCTCTAGCTCTGTTGATAGCGTGACGGGTCTTTTTGCCAATGCTCGCTTGAGCTCCATGTTGTTGGTGGCTTCCATAAGGTGATGGGCGGCGGTTTCAGGGGTGAGATCGCGCACAGCCATTGCCACCCTGGACCATCTGGCGTAGAATGCTCGTAGGCTTTCTCCATCTTTTTGCCTGATGTCTATTAGCGCCTTGAGGTGGAGAGGCCTTCTTTTTTGGGACGCGAATTTCGTTGTGACAAGAGTATGAACTCCTCGAACGAGGGAATGATTCCGTTTGGGAGTCTGTTATATCAATCGAGGCATATTCCGGAGAACGTCGATGGGAAGGTTCTGCATAGTGCCGCGTTGGAGTTTGTTTGGAGTTGCATCCGCAGGCAGAAGGTGCTCACATGGTCCTCGGGATCAGTCGTCCCGTTATACGTTGGGATGGCGGGTGGCATTCCGCTCAAGTGTTCCGCCATGATTTCCGCGCTTAGCGGTTGGTGGAGGGCCTTTCTCGGTGGGTTTGGACGGTATTGCGGGGATAGGTGTTGCTCCAGGAAGCTGAGGTCCGCCCTGCCTGGCGGCTCGGCTTGTTGCGTTTCAGGCGCGGGAAATTCGGCCAGTGCCGGTTGTGGTAGCAGGGCGGTCCCTGACGCCTCTCCTTGCGCTTGGTGTGGTGCGACAGGTGGCGCGTCCACTATCGTCGCGGCTTCTTTGCTCATCATGAGCGCTATGACTTGGCTCATTTGTTTTTGCATATCGGCTATGACGTTGTTTTGCTTCGCCATTAGCTGCCTCATTTCTTTGGCGGTCAGCTCGGGCTCCTCCTACTTCGATGAGCACCGCTTTGAGGTTGCTGGTCTCCACGAACATCCTTGGGTTGGTCATTGCTTTGATGGGTGTTGCTTCGTCAGGTGAGTTGGGGTTATGTTCTGCCATTGGTTGGTTTTCTGTTGCTTCTCTACTTGGCCCCACGGTGGGCCAATTGTTTGAACCTAACTGAGTGTAGGAGTGAGGTTCGGGGAAATGGGTCAAGAAGAGTAAGCTAGGGAGATTGCAGATGGGTTTAAGAACAATGGAAATGGAGGATGCAAGCAAAGAGAATAAGTAATTAGAGCCAGTCTCGGACTCAAGAACAAAGGGAGGATGTGGCCGAGAAAATCAGTATAAAGAGAGAGAAGTAGCTTGTTTTTAGAGATAGAGTTTCCAAAGTCGGATCCCCCACCCACTAGAGTAAATGCCATATTTATAGGCTACATGGTGGTGGGTGAGTTACATGATGATGTGACCACTGACATGTCAGGGGCTTAGGCCACATCCCTACCTAGGAAAGGACATTTAGCCCACGACTATACATAGGACGATGATGGTGACTACTCTTAGGGGGGAGCGCGGCGTCGTTTTCGTGGTTTCCCGGCTTGGTCAACGCCTGACCCGGACGGCGTCGTTCGGTGTTCGGGCGCAGCATGGATTATGGTCGCATCGCGTCAGTGTTGGCGCGCCTTGCTCTTGCTACAGCGTCGTTTGGGGTATGCGTCAGTGTTGACGCGCCTTGCTCTTGCTACGGCGTCGTTTGGGGTATTTCCTTGGCGCGGCGAGATCCGAGTCATATACCCAACAGATTTCATGGGCTCGATATCAGGATATCGGGGAAGTTCGAACGGGAAGACTGAAAAAATGACATATATACAGATATTCTCTTTTAGATCAAAGTAGGAACTACAAGAATTTGATCAAGATTCATGCAATTCAGAAAAATCATGCCTCAATTGAATATAATCAATGTCAAGAGATCATGTACTTGGGTTCCTACAACCAAACCTAACATACAAATCTAGGGTTCTTCATACCCAGGTGAGAGAGAGAGTTTACTCCATAGAGAGAGAAGAGAGATCAGCTTCAGATGCATAAATCATTCTGTGGAAGATGAAATTCGGCTTCCAGTTGTCAATCGGCACTTCTCCAAGCTTCAATCGAGCTCCAATGGCGTCAAAACTCGAGCTATGTCACTTTGGAGGCTTTCTTCGTCGCTTTCTCTCTCTAGGTTTCACTTTCTTTCTCTAAAACTTGATTCTTCCTTCCAAAGAACCCAAAATTCCCATGAAAGAGCAGCAGATCCCGAAACCCGACCCAAATACCTGGTCGATTATTAAGAGGACCGGCCGGGTATTTCGAAACACTGCGCATCAGGCAAAGGGGAAATACCCGATCCTAGGTTTAAATATCCGATCGAGTATTTTGGCCTCTCGGCCGGGTTCCCTTCTGTTTCCCTGGCCTCCAACTCGCCATTACCTGGTCCCAATCCACGTATACCTAGTCCGGTATTATAGTGACCTGACCGGATATTTTGCCTGTCAGCTCCTCATTGCCGCCAACTCTCCATTTTCGACACGTGGTTTCCTCGTTCAGAATGAACGAGACTAATTCAGAATGAACGAGACTAGTTCACGGCCAAAGCATATTAAGTTCTTATTCAAGTATCGTACAATCTCGGAGGTTACAATTATATATACAGTACGTATGTCTAAACCCTAAGGGTTTCGACTTTCCATACTAGTGCAATTATGCATGGGCCAATCATGCCTCACGCAAGTACATGCTTTTCAAGCCCTAACATACTTAACTTAACACCAATCTTGTTCCTTTCACCATGCCTAATTCATTCGTCAATGATTGTTTTATGAGTTTGATATTCAATGGTTTGGATTCATTATTTTCGTTTTGGGTGAAAGATGTATGCATTGCAAGCGCGCAGAGGCATTGATGAATAACAATAAGCACCAGGAGGCCGATGAGATGATGGGAAAGAGTCTGAATTTTGACGATGATGCATGTACGAAATTATTTGTACCGATTGGTAGTGCTAGTATTTTAGCGGTGCAACTGCAAGCTCAGGTTGACATCAGTAGTACAAAAGGTACAAACTAAACTGTATATTTTAAATGGAGACTTTTATTTAATTATCTTTTTGACAATATATGAGATGGAGATGTTTATGTAAATTAAAATGCTTTTGTTCAATAGAATTTATTTAGGGTTAATATATTTATCTGATCTGAACTTTTCACATATTTAACATACTGACTAATTTTTTCAATCTATAACATTGTGGCTATAACTATTCCTACTCCTTACTAAACTAGCCAATTCTGAGAGTTGACCTTAAAGTTGGATGGTCAAACCCGTTGACTAACGGCCAACCCGCCATGTTACTTTCCAGTCACCCAATATTTTTTTTATAGTGGTGAAATCGATTAGAACGAAACAAAAATAAGGTACAAAAAGAAAAGGACCACAAACCCGGCCCAAAGAGAAAGAAAAAACCTCTCGAGCCAGTCACCCAATATTGATGACGTAGATATCACATGGTATAAAAATAATTAAAAATTAAAAAAACTACCCAACATTTATTTTCATTTATTTCAAATTACTTTTGCACATAATACCCAATGGTGATGATCAGAAAATGAAAAAAACTAAATGTTGGGAATTTTTTTAATTATGTGGAAAATTATCTGTCCTTTGAAGTAAAGTTTTGATGCCAACTCTAATCTATGATGTACATATTGGTTGTGGCAAGAAAACAATGGGATTTAGGCGCTTTGAGCATTTCAATCAGGCACTTCTTGTTAAGATTGGCTGGGGAATCCTTAACGATCCGACCTCGCTGTTAGCCCAGGTGTATAAGGGGAAGTATTTCCCCAAGACGAGTTTCTTGGAGGCTACTGCTTGTTCTCGCCCCTCATGGGGGTGGCAAAGTATCCTGTTTGGGCGTCAGTTATTGGTGCAAGGCCTCCGTTGGCAAATTGGTAATGGCAGGTCTGCTCCGTTACTAGACTCGACTTGGGTGCCTCGGCTTCATCCAATTGCCCCTACGTACAACCCCCAGGTTTTAACTACGGATGGGAATTTGTGTGTTGCCGAAGTTATGTGTCCGGATGGGGGGCGTTGGTGTGATTCAAAGCTTAGTCAGTGGTTCGACCCGGCTACATGTAGTGCCATTAGAGAAATCCATCTGCCCCTTAGGGATGTTGAGGATCGGCTTGTCTGGCATGGTACGTCGGATGGTGCTTTCACTGTGAAATCAGCCTATCACCTGGCAGTTAACCAGAGTAAAAAGGATGGGCGTTGGCGGGCCTCGGCTAGTTGGATGGATAGGGGAAGCTGGATCCTATTGTGGGATGCTAATATCCCCCCTAAATTGAAGGTGTTCCTCTGGCAGATTTTCAATCGGATCTTCCCCACGACGGAAGCGCTTCTGGAAAAAGATGTCCAAGTCCACCCTAGGTGCCCGGTTTGCTAGGCGAAATCCGAGACGATGGATCACTTGTTTCTTGAGTGTCCGGTGGGTAGGGCGTTATGGGATTATGCGAGCTTAGAATACCTTGGACAAGGACTTCCTCGTCATTCTTTCTCGCTTTTCCTGAAACGGCTTTTGCTTATCATTCAGTAGGCTCCATTGTTTATGGTTGTGGCTGCAGTACTTTGGAGGATCTAGCGTTCTCGAAACTGGGTTGTCTTTGAGGGCAAGCAGTTTGGGTTCCCAGCTTTAATGAGGCAATACCATCAGCAGCTTCAGAAATGGTTGAACCTTATGGTAGATGAGCCGAGAAGATTTCTTGTCCCCCCTGCGTCGATGGAGGGGGTGCTCCCCCCGAGTGGGCTGGTCTGTAGGTGGGATGGGGCGACTAAGCAATGCTCTCATTCGACAGGAGGTTTTGTTATGATGGACAGTAGAGGGAGGGTCATGTTGGCTAACGGTGTTTGGTTTGATGGGATTGATGATCCTCTGGTTGCCGAAATGCTCACGATTCGGGAGACTATTTCTTGGTGCATTTCGTCTGGCTTTTTGGCGGTGCAACTGGAAGGTGATGCCAAGGTGGTTATTGATAAGATCAATCAAGGGATCACAAGGGATAGTCGGATTGGCGCCTTGCTGGTGGAAGTGGTGGAGTGGTTAGCACTTAATAGGGGGCTCACTGTACGATTTGTAGGTCGCTGTAATAATAGGATAGCTCATTTGGTGGCTAAGAAGACCCTTCATTTTTACCCGGTTATGAGTCGTTCTTTTGATTAGTTAGCCTGGTTGCGCTCCAGGTGTAATTATCTATGTTTTTTTTTATCAATATATGATTATCTTTTGTAAAAAAAGCTTCAGTTTTGCATCCGTATACTTTTTTTATGTGCAAATTTTATCGATGTAGAGATTGAATTACTACGAATAAAATCTGTGTGACTAATTAGGGTTTGGAGATTGATTTCTGTAAACACAGCCATATGAGAAACTGCAAGTTCGTTAGAAACTGCAAGTTAACAACAATAAGAAACTGCAAGTTCGTTAGAAAATTATTAACAACATGCTTGATATATTATTTATGTATATGCCATATGGATGCTACTAGGACAACGAGGTGAATTGTACTTCATACACACAAATCTAATTCATCGTTATCCATGAATTTCAACAAGCAAACAATAGTTTTTCACAATCCAATGAGCCAATTTCATCATAAATTCAGGAATTCAGGCTTTAACCAATATCCTCGTTTTAACCCAACAAGCATACTCTTCCAATAGTATGCACATAGGTGGGTCAAGTTCTCGGTTCCGGATTAATATTTGAGTTTGAAGACACTTGTTGGTTTCCTATGGAGATTATGGACTAAAATGATTAGTTCGAAGCTTCAAATAACCTAAATCTAATTAAAATTGGTATTTATCTCATATATGGATGAAGAAATGAATGGAGTGACTAACAAGTCTTGTCTAATTCATTACTTGACTCAAAGGGTCGAGTGTCTAAAGTATCCTATATGTTTGAGTATAGTGACCATATTAATCATTAACCATGAATTTGTCTTACTAATATATTCAGGATCTTAAAATTCTTTTCGTTCAACAATAATTCAACAAATTAGACAACTTTGTTATAAAATTTTAATCCAATGGACAATCTATTAGAAAAAAGGACAATCTCACGGATCGCCAATAAAATTTAAAAAGCCATTTTCACGGATCTCCCTCGGTCAACATAATATGCCCCATGTGGATCTTTTGGACGTGCATGCCACTTCGATTTAAAGTTAAGACAAAAAGATGATTTATTGTTATTCCTATAAGAATAAACTTAGATATATTCTACAGGAAAAAAGGACCTATAATTTAACTTCTATTAAACAAAAAATACGCGCAATCAAAAATGATATATCACAGATGGGTTTCCGGATGGTTTCAAGCATCTTGTTCATTTAATGTATTTTGCCTCTACCAACCAAAATTCAACAAAGTGGCCACAAACTGCCGCCGGAGCACGAAGGCGGTCCCTGCCGTCGGCGGAGCCCTGAACAAGACGATTCTGAATTCTCCCTGGTCGCCAACTAGTAGGGACAGTAGTTCCTTATCTCGGGGAGGGCTCGTGTGGTGAAAGAAATGCATGAAAGATGGAGATTGATCAATAATTGGAGTTGAAGGCCAAGTTTTTCCCCCCTCCTACACGCCGGCGACAACTCTGTCACCTCCTTGCTATAACGGTACACATTACCAACTTTCTATTGATATAAAAAAACATTACTCAGTTAGTTCGTCCACCGTTCCATCTCGTTCACAAGGCTTGGCGAGAAAGAGAAACAGAGAGGTCAGATTACACAATGGCAGAGGCAGAGCATACCTCGGTAGAGAACAAATTCGGTTGCGGGTTACTAACCGCGGTGTTCGGAAAGAAGGGAGGAGGAATGCGGTCGAGAAGAGGAACATCCATGGCCTCAATCCCACCTGTAGCGACGACAGTAGAGCCTAATAATCCCCACAACCTGGTCATGTCGCCGAGCTTCGCGAAGCGAAGAAAGAATCCGGAGGAAGCAAAGGTAATTAATGGATCAGCTCAGGGCCCGCCTCGCCATCATCAGAAAACAATCCTTGTACATCATCAACCCACCAAGGTTTCTCCCTCGAATTCGCATCAGCAACCGTCATCAGCAGCAGCAGCCGGGGCGATAACCACTGCAACAAGAACAAACAACAACATCAATGGGACTTGTGCAAGCAATGTGAAAGTGTCTAAAGGAGCCATCAGTATCGCCGACGAGTTGGAGAGCATGATCGACGAGTACCAGAGGAACAACAACGGGAACAATCATTTGGTTCGTGCTTCCTCGAGCAATGTGATGCTTTATGGAAATCTAGGAAATTTGAGGCAGCCGCAGCAAGGGAATTATGGAGGGAAGGCGAACCATCAAAGGGAAGACAGCAACAACAACAACAACAACAACAACAAAGAGAAGAATGGGAAGTATCTAAACAGCGTGATGGGGAACGTGGTGGTGAAGAAACAGAGCGATTGCCAAAGTCAGGCAACCACTCCTATATGCAGGGCTCTGTCAACAAGAATGGACCCTGAGCAGCTGAAGATCATGGGCAACGAGGATTACAAGAATGGAGATTTCGCGGAGGCTTTGGCTCTTTACGAAGCCGCGATTGCCATCGATCCGAACAAGGCCGCGTACAGGAGCAACAAGAGCGCGGCGTTAACTGCTCTGGGTAGGCTGCTAGAAGCAGTTAGCGAGTGCAAGGAAGCCATCCGGATCGAACCCAATTACCATCGGGCGCATCATCGCTTGGGTAACTTGTACCTCAGGTGAAACATGTTGCTAATCAACTGAAATTCAAAAAAAAAATATTATTTCCACACAGACAATTTATCAAACACCTTACGTGCACACCTGCAGATTAGGAGACATGGAGAAGTCAATCTACCATTACAAACACGCAGGGCCGGAGGCGGATCACATTGACGTTTCCAAGGCGAAATCCCTCCAAGTGTACCTCAACAAATGCATAGAGGCAAGGAGGCTGCGGGACTGGAACACGCTCATCAAAGAAGCTGAGGCTGCCATATCCGGAGGAGCAGACTCTGCTCCCCTAGTAAGCCCAATTCAATTCATTTCCGCTACCTCAAACCTTGTTTCGCTGATGGGTTAGAGAAATTGACCTTTTTCCATTCTTGGATTCTCTGTTTTCGGATGGGTGGATAGATTTATGCACTACAAGCTGAGGCGCTGATGAAACACAACAAGCACCGGGAGGCCGACGAGGTGATGAAAAAGAGCCTAAATGTCGACACTGATGCGTGCACCAAGTTATTCGGCCCGATTTCTACTGCCAGCATATTGACCGTAAGAGCTCATGTGGATATGGCAATGGGCAGGTTAGTTACTGACATTTCTTTTCAGTTTTTTACATGACAGGTAAATGCCAAGTTTGGTAACTGAGTTTACTAAAATGTATCATGTTTAGTAACTGGAAAAAAAAATATCAACACTAAGGCCCGTTTAGTATCATTTTGTTGTTGTTGTGGTTGCAGTGGCGTTGTGTAAACAGATGTACAACCACAACAGGAAAAAAACAGAAAACACAAACATGTTTAGTTGATAAATCTGAAAAATCATGAAAGCTGACAACAAGAAACAAAAACGCGTTTAGTTACTACTATAAGAACTAAACCCAGAAAAAGAGATATGTCCGCAATATTAAGCAAAGTCTTACAACAGTCAACATAGCTAACATCATTCATGTTCCTTACAAAAAAAAAATAACACTAAACATGATTATCACTCCATAACTTATTAGCAATGGCATCACGCTTCTCGGTCATCTCATGTGTTGCTGCATAGCTGACGTTGAACTCAGTGAACACAGATTCAGCTTTATCACCCCATATTTTGCTATCATCATTTTTCTGAATCTCCACACAATCAACATCACCATTTTCAACAATTTTCTCCATAACTGAGGTAAACCACAAAACAAAGAACATAGCAATCAATCCAAATTCACAAATAACTAATCTAGCAATCACTACATACATACCATAATTCAAGAACATATTCAGAAAGTATAGATTAACATAATACATTTAAGAAGTCGAAGTTACCTGCTGCGGGGAGATGGTCGGCGGCCGGCGGACTGGCGGCGGAGGCAGGGCGGCAGCGACGGTTGCGCGGGCTGCGGCGAGCGGAGGCGAAGCGGCGCTGGGCGGGCGGAGGCGAGGCGGATGGGCGGCGCTGGGCGGGCGGAGGCGAGGCGGCTGCGCGGCTAAGGCGGGCGGAGAGGCGGAGGGGTCGCGCAACCTGCGAGAAGAAGAGGATTGGGGGCGGCACTCTGATGGTTCTCGAGAAGAAGATGGAAAATGGTAAAGGGCGGCTGATTTTGATATGTTGAAGTAGGGTTTTGGTGGGGGGGGGGGCGGATGTGTTAAAAAAAAGAAATTTTTTTGCTTTTGTGGGGATTCGAAAACTGGTCTGTTTTAATGAAATCAAGCGCCCAACCAGTAGGAATCACGTGTGCAACATGTTTAAGAATCAGATCCAAAGCTATAAATTGTTGTTTCTCATATTTGGGCCTTGTTGTGCAACTCTGATTCACAACAAAAAATAAAAACCCAACTAAACACGATTTTTTTTCTTGGTTTTCCAAATTTCTTAAAACACAACAGGAAACAAAAACAAGCAACAATACTAAACGGGCCTGTCTAACAGAACAGTCTAGTCAGCAAATCTTAACCCAAAAAAATTTAAACTCGACACGCCACGTCATAAACATCCAACTCAACCCCTAACCCGACCCATCACCCTTGGGAACCCCTCTCCTCTGCCAGCCGCCACCATGAAGAAGACCAACACTTCTCCTTAGCCCAAAAAAACCCAAATCTGAGTTCGCCGTCATCACTTCACATCCCAAAATCGTTTCCCATCTATCGTCGCTGGGTTACTCTTCCCATCACCTCCAATCGAGCTCATGGAGCCAGAGGACCACCATTTCCCGCCATCAACTACCTTATATGCCCGACCAATCGACAAGAACCGCAGTCAGCATCGAAATCAGAAGAAAAAGGCGACGGAGCAGCTAGAGACAAAGGCGTCGCTCGAGTCAACCTCCAATGAGTTTTTCGCGACCAGGGATACTTATTTTGTCAAGGCGACAACGGAAGATGTTGTTCTCATAAGACCACCGCTTTGCTCTACTTCCAGTCAGCTCTTCAGAGGTCCGCCATCCTCGACCTCTTTCCCCTTAAAAGTCATCGTGTCGACTCGAACCCACACTCTAGTTTTGCGAAGAACAAAGCTTTCTAGTCGGAGGATCTAAATTGTCGCCGACCACTGCATTCAAGTTGCTCTATCTAATCCCTCTCCATTGTGTCGCTTCCACTTTCAAGGAGAGGGCGGTGATTGAGAGAGAGAGGGTGATGATGTGGCGGGTCGAGTTTAGTGATTTTTTGGTTAAATTCGGTTACTAAGCGATTATGTTTGTTATATCAACACTTAATGGACTTGAACGGAGACTAACAAAGAGTGACCAAACATGAAATATTTTACCAAACTCAGTGACCATTATTGATATTAATTTTTTCCAGTGACTAAACATGACGCATTTTAGTAAACCCAGTGACCAAACTTGGCATTTACCCCTATGTAATATGTTCGTTAGCCAAGCACATTGAAAATTCATTTTAGAGTTGCTCGGCCAACATGAACATTTAAGGTTGTTCCTCTGTCAATCACTTTCATTCTTCTCAATAGGGCGGAGAGTCCTTCATCGTAGCCGTTAAATAATTTTTGCACATTATCGACGCTTTGTTTATATTAGTCGGTCAACTCTAACTGTATCAGTGGTTATCAAGTATTATATTGGTTAACAGAGAAACAAGTTAGCAAGTGATTTGAGAAGGTTATACCAAAATAAACGATCAATAACCAAACCAACAGAAGATCTCCCTCTTATTTTCAATTATGCATTTTGTAGATCTTTCCCTACATATGTATGTGTTCTTTTTTAAAATGTTTATCATTGATTTGAATTTGCCTTGTTATTCCTATTGAGACTGAGAGAAGAAAGTGATGATATTAAGGAAGACTGTGAGTGTGAACTGGGTGAGGGAACTCTTTGATTGGAAGAAATTGAGGCACTGTCTTTGCAATATTTCTTCCAAAGGAAACTATCTGATTTTCCCAATTCATTCTTGATGTCTAAATTTCAATAGCAAAATTGACGGTTTTATTTGCTTCTTTCAATTTTAGGATTCACGTGTGAGGAAATTTGGGAAAGAAAAGGGTCGGGCGGGGAGTATATTGTTTATTCAAAGTTTGAAGTTTGTTTGGGATGGATACGATCGTTTTTTGGAGAGAAACATAGATATTTATATTCTTTTAGTTGGCGGTTAATGTTACCCAACTATTCAATTATCTAGTACATCAAAAGTCATTTTACCATGTCGATAACTGCATAGCTATCTTATAATCGGACCATTAACCGATGATTACCGAATAGTTTAATGGTGTACCAACTAATCGACTAACTCATTTCAGCATGTCACCCTAATGAACATTGAAAATGTTGTAACTTTGACCAACAGGTTCGACGACGCCTTATCGAAAGCGCAAGGTGCGATGAGGCTGGACTCCAACAACAAGGACGCGAGCATGGCAATGAGGAAAGCGAGAGCCGTGGCGGCGGCTCGAGCGAAAGGAAACCAACATTTCAAGGTCGGAAAATTTCGAGACGCATTGATGGCTTACGAGGAAGGATTGGAGCACGATCCTCACAACTCGGTGTTGCTCTGCAATCGAGCTGCCTGTCGCGCCAAGCTCGGCCAGTTGGAGAAAGCTATCCACGACTGCTCCTCTGCTCTCAATGTCCGTCCAGACTACGCCAAAGCCAGGCTCAGGAGAGCTGATTGCTATGCCAAGGTAAAGCACACTAACATTTGAACCACACATTTTCAATTAGGAAATATAAAAAGAATGGTCATATATCGATTTGCTTGGTGAAACAGTTGGGAAAATGGGAAGCTTCAGTAGAAGAATACGAGATGTTGTTGAAAATTTCGCCACAAGACGAAGAGGTGAGGCAAGGTTTAATGGAAGCCAAGGAAAGACTGAAGAAGCAAAGAGATGAGAAATGTTAGAATTACAATAAAGAACACCTAATGGGGTCTAAGGAAGGAAGCAAGCCTGATTACATAATATCAAAACTGGGTTGACTTTGGGCCAATATAATTGGACTTGAAAGTGGAAAGAAAGAAAGAAAAGATTCCAACATACGATCAATTGTGTTTTGAAGAGTTCATTTTCGTGTATAGTTCTTGATATATGGCAATTGTGTATAGATTTTTCGTTGTCCTCTTTATTCTAGACTTTCTTTTCTCAATGAGTTAATGGTCTTTTAAACCCACAATCTATGGAGAAAAATCCCAAAATACACAAGTTCTTAAAATAAATTCCAAAATACTTTAGTTATAAAAATAATTCCCAAAGTACGCATGTTTGAACATCACCGCAATGATCCAAGACAGTGAACAATATCACTGCAATTGACAAAGACAGTGAACGTATCACTGTCATCGACAAAGACTGAACGTTTCACCGTCTTAGTTTAAAGAGAGAAACCATCACCGCAGCGAACTAAAACGGTGAACATATCACCGCGCCGAACAAAGACAGTTATGCATTCACCGCTGTTGTCTGAAACGGTGATTGTTTAACACGTTTTCCAAACCTGGTAGGTGGAAAATTAGGTCGCAGCTACCTAGCATTCACCGCAATAGGCAAAGGCGGTGAATGCCTTCACTGCAGTCGACTCTCACGGTAATTTTATTCACTGCAATGCACTCTTGCAGTGATTATATGACCCGCTTTGCATATAAATAACCGAGCCCCAACGTATCTGCCTAAAAAATCTGCACCATTCCACTCAAATTTTTGCAAAAATCTCCTTCTCAGCCTGCTTCCAGCAACTACTGATACAGAATCTCATATTTTTGTACGATATTATGGTGTATTATTTAGATATTGATGTTTTAATAATTATAAGTCTGTATTTAATGAATTGTTGGCAAATATGTTATGTTGGAGATATTTAGATTTTTATGGTATGATTGATGTTAGTTAGATGAATTAGTTTAGTATACTCATGTTATTGTAATGCTAATTATGGTTCATGTTTCGATTAGTTAGTTGCGGTTGTTTATGGTTTTGGATGATATTATTTTCGTAGCCCTAAAAATATGGCGTTGGATATTGTTTGTGCCCCAAGTAATAATTATACTATACTAATCTTATTCGAGTTAAGCTAATAGTTACTTATTATAAATTGCAGACATGAGTAAATTTAAGAAGTTTCGGCTTATTATTCGGTGGAATGGTCGAGTGACAAACTCTGATATTGGGATCGATTGTGAAGATGGTCAATACATTATGCTGAAAATTGAGTCGAGATTAACGTGGCAAGAACTACGTGACATTTGTGAAGACAGGGTTTGTATGGGCGGACAGACGAGAGTTGGTAAAATTACTTACAGGTATCCAAACATGAGTGCTGGCGAAGTTATGTACGAATAAGTTGTCATAAATGATGATGACGTGGAACTGACTCGCAGGAAACTACACCACAAATTAATCCTGACTAGAGCCCAAGTTTTTAAACTCTAGTCGGGTGCAGTATAGAGCAAGTATTTAAATTGTCAACCTGGGCCGGTCCATGTACCCCTACCTCAATCGCTTAGGTTGTTATTTAGAAAGCAAATTTTGGGTTTAGAACTAATGGAACTACAAACTAAACAAGCAAAATAAAGTAAATAAAGGAAAATTCTAACTAAAGGAGCTTCACCCATGAGATGTTTCCCCCTAACTAGCTACTCACTGGATTGAAACGATTGCTATGGGCAAGGTAACCGCAAACCGCAGAGAGATGAAAATATGGTCGTAGACCACAATCTCAATTGCTAAACTGAGGTAAACATTATAGGTCATGTCACTCGGCCCTCTCGGTTTAGGCAATCCGTGGTTGACTTACTCCCTCACTCAACTCAAGGGTTGGACGGCTTAATCGCGCTTAACCAATTTGCTTAATTCAACATTGAGGTTTGCCCTAAATTAACCTAGTTAGGTGGCTTAAAAAGCTAAAGGAAAACCAACTCGATTGAGTCTCCCTTGGAAGGGGGATTTTCCTTCTCTAAGCTAGGTTGAAGTGGCTAATTAGATTGCAAAGCATCAATATGCACAACCCTAAGGATGCTAAGCACAAAACATGCCCAACCCATAGATTGCTAAGCACAAGCATGCACAATTAACATGAATAATACCTCAATCGTTAAATTAAACAATAGCCAATGACAATCATTCAATCTAAACAAGTAATTACAGAGTATTAGTTAGGGATCTACAACACCCAAGAGAAACAGTGAGTTTCTAGAGAGAGAGGGGGGGAGATTACAAAGAAACCTCCAGATCTTCTTCTTCTTCTTCTTCTAGGCTTGATTCCAAGCTTCCAAGCTTGATCAATGCCTTCAGTTAAGCTCCAATATCACTCCCTCTCTCACTAGAACTCCCCTTGGGTGGGTTGAAACCCTAGAGAAAGAAAGTGTTCCTTCTCCCAAAAACCAGCTCTCTTTTCTCTCCCCCCGCTGTTGTCTTCATATTTGCCCGAAAGTAATCAGTTCACGGACGTGTTGGCCAGTTCACGGCCGTGAACACCTAAACGCGTCTGTGAACTCAGTCGTCTCCAAAACGCACTGCTTTGCTTCTTGGGTTCACGGTCAATGGCCCCAGTTCACGGTCTTAGAGACCGTGAACTTGCCTAGCGTCAGTAACTTCGGATTTGGCCCTGGACGCCTTGATGTTCACAACCCATGCCTCCTCTTCACGGTCTTAGAAGACTGTGAACTACCTTGTCCGACCGTGAACTCCGCCTGTTTCTTGGACGCCTTCACTTCACTATTATGGGGCAATTGTCTTGAGACTTTTCTTCAGTTTTTGCGCTTTTTGACCTCCAAATATCCCAAAACTCGTCCTCGACCCTTTCACACATGCTAGGACCTGAAATGTATCAAAACAAGCACAACCTAGCGTGAAATATGTCGAGGAGTGATGAAATACTAAGCTAAACGAATAAGAAATGAGGGGTAAAATGTGTACATTTGGGCCCAAATCGGTTACCATGATGATACAGTTCCTATCTGACAACAAGATGCGGCTTGCAGAGGTGTATGTCAAGACCGAGGTGGTGGATGAAACTCATTCTCACTAGTACTCCTATGATCATGGTATTGCAAGAGGGTACGGATGGGGTGGTAGTTCAAACAACTACGGAGGAGGTAATTCTGCAGGAGGTGTTGCATTGGAAGGATACCCGCAACATGATCAGCCTACCCCATTCGTTGAGCCCAGCCACGTTCAATTGCCTTCTTGGGGTCAGAGTGGGCTGACATTGAGAATACTCTTCGATCTGGGCGTACTTCGCATGAGCGAGAAGACGATGCTGGTGATGCAGGTCACGATGATCCTCCTGGGCAAAGCTATCCATTTTCCTCCAGCAACAAGGAAAGTGAGGAGGATTTGAGATTAGTTGGCGAGGATGAAGATACAGATGATATCGACGATGACGAGGTGGCATTCCATGAGCCACCAATGCCATACTACACAGAGGTTCCAACTCAATTTTTATATAGTCAGAACGATGCCCCTGACTTTCTCCCTATGCCAGTGTATAGCCTAACTGCCAATTTGGAGGTGGGTATGGCGTTCACTTCAAAAGACGCTGTTCAAGATGCTTTTAGCGAAGAAGCCATGCAGCAATTTCGAGTGGAAGGTAAAATATTCTAACAACAAACAACTACATGTCATATGCAAGAATGCTGAAGAGGGCTATACGTGGTAACTGCGGGCTGCAAATATGAAGCAAAAGGGTGTCTAAGTCATTCGAAAAGCAGAGAACAACCACAGCTGCTCCTCGTCCATACTTTGACTAGATCACCGCCATCTGAAAGCAAAGAAAGTGGGGAGAACCATCAAGCATTTGATCGAGGCCCAACCAGATATCAAAATCAAAGCTATCATGGCCGAGGTGTAGGATCAACATTCGTACACGATCAGGTACAAAAAGGCATGGATTGGAAAGCAGAAGGCCACGGCTGAGGTGTATGATGATTAAGACGATTCATATGCTTTACTCCCTAAACTAATGGCCGCAATGGAGGAGTCCAAACCGAAGATCAAGTTCGTGTACAGAATGAGTTGACGTTTCAACGTCTATTTTGGGCATTCAAGCCATGCATTGACGGGTTTGCCTTTTGCATTCTAGTGATCCAGGTATATTACGGATTAATTACTGTTGCCCTAGTTCATTTTTAAATATGTAATATTTATACTAATTCAAATTATTTGTAATAGGTTGATGGGACTTTCCTTACTTACTGGCAAGTACAGAGGAACTCTTCTCATAGCCACCGGCGTTGATGGAAATTTGAGGATCCCCCCCGGCATGACCAATTACACAACCACGTCACACAGCGGCAAGGTATTACGATTATATACAAACGACATGCTGGGATTATGAATGCCGAGGGTGGTTTTCCTAACGAATGGGGATGGACATGGCAGTGGTGTATTCAGCACTTTCTTGCCAATTTCCATCACCAAATTTGGGAAGAAGAAATACATAACAGATCAATTGTGGAATGCAGGTACTTCATCTATTATTGTGCGAGTTAATTACTCATTGTTCATATTAATTTTCGCATGTATTAATTAGTTATTTTTTCACATTGAAGCGGTTGCACATCAACCAAAAAAATACGAGCAGAAGATGAAGACGATCTGTCAGATAAACCGGGCGGGGGAGGTATAGGCTGAAGCTCAAGAGTTGCACATCTGGACATTCCATATGGACAACGAGGCTAGATTCGGCATTTCAACTACCAACCATGGCGAAAGTATTAGTGGAGTATACAAAGGGCCTTAGGGCGATCTCTTTTTCTGTCATAGTGGAGATGTCGTATTGGAAGGTCAACGAGTGGTTTGTGCAGAGACTTCAAGAGGCTATAGGGAGGGAGCATGTTGGACATGCAATAGCACATCACATCTTTCATCAAATGCAGAAGAACGAAGAAAAATCGAGTAAGCATAGATT